ATGAGCAACGCTCCACGCCGCTGCGGTCAACCATTACACATTGTAACCACCTGATACCCATTTCAGTCTTAAGCCCCTGTTACACTATAAAACACTTTGATGGAATAGAAACCGATCCTATTTCTCGTCGAACCTTGGTCAAAGTTTGATGACGTTGATTTAATTTAGCCAATCAGAATGCAAGGAATATTTACCCCTTCTCAACCGGAGGTGCGTAGAGTCAAGTCAAAATGAGGAAACTAGTTTTTGACTCACGAGATGGAAGAATTAATCGATTTGGTTGAACAACGAGCAGCCATTCTCGGGACCTAATATGCCTTTGCCTACCCCGACGCCGCATTTTCAACATGGCAATACACAAAATACATATGACAACAGCAAAATATTCTTTGTTAATAGCATCCATCTTGGCAAGGTAATTCCCGCCAAAACTTTGGCCTGTCAAAAACTTTAATTAGTGTAAACAGCCCAACTTGGTCAACGTTTTCTTTGACCAAGTTTTGGATCAAAGTTTTTGATAGTGTAACGGGGTCTTTAAATATCGGGTAGGCCTATACCTGGCCAGGGCCCACTTGCACAAAGCGATCTTAGCGCAAAGATGATCGTAATACCCATACTTTAACATAGGCTTACGATAGTCTTAGCGCTAAGATCGCTTTGTGCAAGTTGACCCAGGTGTGGAAGCCTCCGGGTCCTTCTCGCGGAGACTGAGGTTAGTTGCTAAGATACCTCAATCTGCTGACACGGCAGTGTTGGGTGAGCGTAAATAGAGGTTCACACACAATCGTGAAAAAGCCACAACATCATCAATAGCTCACGTTTTTTTAGAAAACGATGTGCCTTGTCAATTCGCGTGCAATAATCTTGTAACTTTGTTGGAAACATGACACAAATTGAGCTTGTCATATTGTTTTTCGTTTCCTTATAACAATCACAATAGACTAATTAAGCTGGGATTAGATTTTGGTTTGGTTTGTTGTTTTACGCCGCAATATTCCTGATATATGACGGTGGGATTAGAGGCCCAAAATATAGAAATGTACTTTTACTTTTGTTTTCTTTTAATCTTATAATTTTCAGTCACATGGTGATGTAATTAAACATCAGAATGTTTGGAATTCGTTATCATAATAAAATAAATGGACAGATCTGTCAGTCAATTTGTAAAATAACTGAATATTTAGGCGTGTAATATATTGCCTAAATGAAAATTTGAGTCTTTTTACACATTGACTGTAACATATACATACGTTAGAATAAGCAATGCTCATGTGAAATATTCAGCTTGTGTCACAAGTCAAAATAGTATGAACAACAATCGCACAATACCAAGCAAGTGACTTATCAAAACATTTATTACCATTAGTGATGCTACCCCAAAAGATACCTACATTTCTTTTTTTATTACCCAGACATAACTGTATTTAATTTGTTCATCAATGGGACCATACGCCTTTATGCTAACAATAAAAGCCACAAATGCGCTTACTTTTGGCGCAGCACAGGTCGCTAACTAGTCGAGATTTCCGGGATATCATCGGGGAAAAAACAATCACAAAGGCAACAACCAATCACAGGGGAAATTACTGGAGATCAGTGTCCCTTTAATGAAATTAATCGCCTATCAAATTTCCGAATGTTTAAAGGCTTTGTATGCTTTAAACACAGGACCACGTAACTAATACGCCTCTTACGACAAGCATAGTCGCCTTTTAACGAAAAGCATGGGTTGCTGAAAAACTATTCTAACCCGGATCTTCACGGGTCGACCGGTCTAGAATTGGCCTTCCGCGTCTCCCATACTTGTTGCAAGATGCAAGTAACGGGATCGGGTGGTCAGGCTCGCTGACTTGGTTGATGCATGTCATCGTAACCCTATTGCGTAGATCGATGCTCATGATGTCAGTCACTGGATTGTCTGGTCCGGACTCGATTATTTACAGACCGCCGTCATATAGCTGTAGTATTGCTGAGTGCGGCGTTAAACAACAAACAAACCATGCGACATATAGCAGCGTGTTTCAACAACCCTGATGAATGGGACTGAGAGAACGGCCAAGCACAACACTCTACAGACTTGCTCAACAGCCAAGTTAATGTACTAAACATCTTGAATAAATAATAACCTCAATAGAATACTATTTACCAAACGTTCAACTCTTTAACTTAACACTCAGCTGAACGACACCGTGGGATTACTAATTAGGCTTAGTGCGCTTGAAAACCTCTCAAAAACATTGAGCTCATTGGATGGCGAAGCCGTCTCGATACGCTTGCTGGTTTCGTCTGACCTACTTTGTGAGGAAAACACATTGCCCGCACTTTCTTACCCATACAACTTCCTGCTTGCGTGAATAACACACGTGATAAATACAGACTGAAGGTAAAGTTGGTTTTCTGGCGTTTCTCTGTATATTTTCTCGTACGCTGTCAACAGAGTTGGGTGGTATTATGTATATGATTTTGTATCCTCTCTAAGCAACCTTCCAAGAAGGTTGACAGCGCGAATAGGGGAAGGTTTTGTCGATGTTGTATAGTGCCTGCTCAACGGGGTTGACTTTTAATATTACCTGGGGAAAATTGTTATCAAATGCTAAAAATATTTATATATATTCTCTATATTTGGGTTCAATAGTGTGGGATATGGTTGAGTAGTCATACAACAATTTTTTTATTATTGAATGCATCACCCTACAATTGTAATTATAATAACAAGGATGATGATGATGATGATGATGATGATGATGATGTCAGCAGCATTAAAAGAATCTGTATTCACCAGTTCATTGACAACACTTACAACTCCAACATGCACACGACCAATACATTTATTCATTTAAATTAAACTTTTACAAACAATATCATGAGAATCGAGCTTTCAAATTTGTAATTTCAAAACCTTTTCATTATTTGTATAGTATTGATGTTACACATGCCAGCTTGGAATGCCATTAAATTCACACCACTGTGAGCTTCACATTATTTTCGCCAATTTGGTTTCGTTTTCGTCACATGGCCTTTTTCTTCAGATCTAATTAGCATCACAATACATAACAGTTCCGGGTATGGGGAACACTCGCATAACACGAAGGGAGTTGTGATCGACGGGAGTAGCAATTTACAGATTTAACGAACTACATCGAGGTCCCCGGACTTTGTGAACTCCCGATATGCCTGTATGTAAAGTCATGTGACAACTTGTTGATCACGGTGTTTTATTCCCTGTTTGGCAGATTTCCAGAGACACAATCAATAAAGCAGGTTTTAGATAAATCATTTAAAAAAGGTTACCTTCCTTGCCATACAAACTCTGCATCACCAGTAGCACACACATGCATCCAGGTGTCGTTGATGCCATTATTATTAATATTATTGTTTATCATATTTGATATTGTTATTATTGATTTTATATTGTTATTACTGTTAACACTTTTATTATTTGATTTTTTTATCAATGCTGTGATTGCTGTTATTGTTATGTTAGTGTGTGTGTGTGTGTGTGTGTGTGGGGGGGGGGGGGGGGGGGGGGTGGAGGGGCTTAAATGAAGCTATAAAACATTGGATGGCGCACATGTGGTCCAGTCGACAGGGGCGCCACAATTGTCTAAGCAGAGTTGTGCCCCTTAGGCCTGCCAGTAACCTAGAAACCTAGGAGCGTGGGTTCGATACACAAATGAATATGTTTCTAGGTTGATCAGCACCATACCCGTACTAATGGGTTTCGCCGAAGTGGTATATGACCTTCAACACTTCGGGCTTTCCTCTGACATGCCGTAATATAACTGACAATATTACCCACAAGGTTAGAAATAACCGAGTTCATAAAAGTCACACAAGAAACGATTTCATAGCTGAAGATTCATTCGACAGTTTGGGTTTCTAAGACGATCAGTGTATATTCTAAAGGGGAGCTCAAAAAGATTAAGAAACATTGGGTAATAAAAACATTATTACACTCGCATGTGTGTCGCACTGATTTTACAAAACTCGTTTAAGAAAACATGTATGACCCTTGCTCGGGAAATACAAGAGTTCTGACACTCGTTTCGTAAAATCAGTATGACACTGATGCTTGTATAACAATCTCTATCGCTGTCAAAGCGGCGTTAAACACTATCTCGCCCACTCACATAGCTTCATACCCATGAAGATCCGGGTTAGAATAGGTCTTCAGCATACCATGCTTGCTGTAAAAGGCGACTGTGCTTGTCGTAAGAGGCGAGTAAGTCGATTATTTACAGACCGCCGTCATATAGCTGTGATATTGGGTGTAGCGTTGAACATCACACAAACAAACATATAGCTTAATGCTTCATGCCGATGACACGATCATACTTCTTTCTATATATACAGATATGACGCATCTCTTTAAAACGAGGTAACAACTTCATTGTTGAACAATTTTCTATATAGAAACCAGTTTTGATATAATTCCCTGCAGTGTTTGTGTGTACGGCACATCGCGTGGTGTATTGTTCCTACTGGGCGTCGACAACATGGAAACAGAGCGCACTGTAACATTACGTGAGATTGTATTTGTATACCACACACACCTGACCCACAATCCGAGGTGACAGTCGGAGAAACACGTTCTTCCTTTGATGGCCATACAGCTTATGACAACCGACCGATCAGATACACAGACTCGTGCCTGATACGAAAGAGATTTGTGGAATCAATTTACAGTTACCAGGACACGAAGCTTAAGAATTTAAAACATTTCCGTATACCTATAACATAAGGAAATGTCTTGTCACGTAACGTCATGGCCTATGAATAAATTAAATTCGATATGCAGATTAAATGTCGTTGACAGAAAGCTATTGACATCTTTGCTGAGCATTCTTCCCGCATCGTTTACATTACGGTAATATCCGGCCGAGTGGCCCAATACAAGTCTAACCGACTAATCAAAATAGCCCCGCAGACGAGGTGTGTTATTACAGGCCATTCTCATACACGCCGCCCCCGTCAGTGAGGAAACTCTATTGTTCTTTCAGGAAAACCCACAGTGGGCGGCGAAGATCTACGGATGGTTACTTGTCATTGGGTTACTCACGAGTTCTTGGAAGTCCTGACTATGATGCCTTGACAGATAACATCACGTTTCTCACCTGTTGAGTCAGCTATCTCCAGATTACCACAGTGAGCATTCAAGGATTATACAGTGTTGTGGTGTATTCAGGAGCTAGAAAACGGCACTCGGATAAGGTTGTAGTGATAGTTACAGCGAGTTGGTTCATGGCTGAGGAGAGCTTTACTCGAACATACTATACAGATTGCGCGTCTTCTTTTGATGCATGCTGTCAAATGTTGTCATGCATTATGGGTATATAATGACAATGATCGTCAGTTTGATGGAACGTTTTACGCAGTGAGAGCGTTTGAATGATGTTCACGTCACTCCAAAACTCCCTCCACACTGAAATGACCACAACTGGTCACCACGTCCTCAACGCCACCCCAACGATTGACCAACTCAACGATGAAAGACGCCTGTTCCAGCAACCGGTGGTCGTGACACTGGGTGTTATCATGGTTGCCGCCATCTTTGGTAACGTTCTCGTTATCTATGTATACTTGAGCAAGAAGATGACACCCTCCTACTTCTTCATACTGCTGCTTGCTGCGGGGGACCTGATCAATAGCACCCTGTGCATCCCGTTCCAGATGTTCGATCTCAGCAACCCTTACAAGTACCCAGTTCCTGTTGCATGCAAGATCTTCCGATTTCTGGAAACTGTCGTAAACACCTGGTGTGGCCTTATTCTTATGTGCATCGCTTTTGACAGATATTTTAAGATATGCCACCCTCTTCAGAAATATACAATGGGTAAGGCGAAATCTCTTGCAATCGTTATGTTCGCTATGACAATTTCGGTATCATGGCCCCAGCTGTTTCTGGTAGGCAAAAGGACTGTCACAACTTCCGTCAAGGACGTGTTTGGTGAAGATTGTTCCACCCAGGATGGATTGTTCGGTTCTGTATACTCCCTGTTGTTTCAGGGTGCCATAAGCTTCCTGTTCGGTGTATGCTTTTTGATATTTCTATTATTCTACGGAAGAATGTTTCACGTGATTTGGAGAAGGAAACGTCAGCGAATTGGGGAAAGTTATTCCTTCACTGTGTCGTCTGGTTGTGAGAAAATGAAAGGAGCAGACGATAAAAACAAACGAACTTTAAGTGTGATGGAGGATACCAGTTTTACCGCTCAAAATGATAGTGCGTTCCCTTTTGAAAATATTGATCAAAACAGTAATGGGAATATTGGAGAAACAAATTCCATAGTTGATGGTCGGAGACCGTCGACGACAGATAGAAAATTTACGAACCTGACGGAGTCCTTTTCAAGCAATCTGAATGAAGTCCACGTTGGAACCAGACATTCGTCCGTGTGGTCCCTTTCAATGATGTCTCAAAGGACCCCTTCTACACCACTAAGTGCTCAATCACACCGTTTGAAATTCTCGAGTCAGATTAAAATCCGGACGTCTCGGACCACCGTCATGTTTGGCCTGGTTACTTTGGCCGGAGTTTTTGGATTTCTGCCATATTTGTTGTTGGAGGTTCTCAGACAATCTGGAGTCGCATTTCAACCAGGTATGACAAACACGGAAGACTTAATGTACGAGTTTTTATCGAAGTCTTATTTTCTAAACAACATTGCCAATCCGTTGATATACAGTGCTGTGAACCCACTATTTAGAAAGGACAGTAGGAATGTGCTACGAAAGCTGATCAAGTGCAAAGACTGATCTTGTTCATCCAAATGAGGTTAATTCAGTATTAAAACATTTATATATTCTAATAAATGTTACTATTTCTTAAACAGTCTTAGTGTTGTTGTATCCCGTTTTAGAGGGTACTGAGACAAAGATTTTGTCAGCCGCTGTTTTGACTTCTGTAGTAGACTTGAGATTGTAATTACTGGATGTTTGTTTGTTTGTTGTTTAACGCCGCACTCAGCAACATTACAGCTATATGACGGCGGTCTGTAAATAATCGAGTATTAAGAAACCTCAAGTCTTTCCATTTCAGGGACTAAGCAAATCTGGCACTAATTTATAGGATGTCCCAACATGCGTGGAGTCATTGCTAATTAGTGTTTCCACGCAACTATGACTTGCTGAGAGGCATGTTTGACGTGTATTCTCCACGCCAAGATGGCATGTTTGACGTGTATTCTCTACGCCAAGATGGCATGTTTGACGTGTATTCTCCACGCCAAGATGGCATGGCATACTGCAAAACATGGGCTGGGGCTGGGCTGGGCTTAGTCTGTCTTACAGACTCTGATACAAATATATATCAAATACAGCCCATGCAAGTCTATAATGTTTGGCAAGTCTAGATTACTGCAGTATCTGAAAATGAAGAGAGTAACAGGGCTCCCTTTTATTATATTTTTATTAAGATAACCGAACAATTGTTTTTTCTGTACGATATGTTCATTTCAGAGACTAGATGTTAGTCTAGGCTGGGCTTGGTTGGGGTTGAATTTGAAAATACATATCTGTTAAACATCGGGAGGGATTTAAGAATTGTGGAAACAAAGTTCCAGTAGAAATTGGCACTAGTCCCATAGTCCTTGACAAACTGCCCAATAGCTAAGGTATCATAAGGACTGGTAGAAATTTGCGACTTTTAAGGGTTTTGCTATGTGTTATTATGAGGACTAGTGGACTGAAAATGTTGGTTTCCAATGCTGAATTCGGTCACAGACTAATTTTCCCGTGTGTTCGCAAAACAGGAAAACTGTTCCCCGATACTTTAGTTCAAATGAATATCATAGGTCGGGATTGAAGCTGACAGCCTTCTTGACACACAGGGAAGCTGTGGACAGGGAAATGTACTCGTACATTACAAGGTCATTGTTAATCTGTGTTAAGCTGAACTGGTAAAACAGACGACGTGATGTAGGATAAACGGGGGAAGGGGTGAGGTGAGGTGAAATGGGGTTTAACGTCGCGTCCAAGATTGTTGCACTTATATAGCGACACGGGGGAAGAGACGGGAACACCTAGTGCTGGGACAAGGAGGAAATACTGAAATAGTTGAAATTTCAAAATTGACCACGGATTAAACTTTTACAAACAATGTCAGGTAAGGTGAGGTGAAATGGGGTTTAACGTCGCGTCCAAGATTATTGCACTTATATAGCGACGTGCATGTACGTGTGTGTGTGTTTGTGTGGCTGCTTGTACTAGTCCGGACTGATGCCGATTTATAGTGCTAGCTCACTGAGATACCATGCCGCAGTTTAACATGAATACCCCACTCAGACATAGTATACTGACTCCGAGCCGACCAGTCCTTGTTTTAGCCCCTTAATGCCGAGCGCCAGACAGGGTAACAACAAGTACCATCTTTTAACGTATTTTGGTATGACACGGTCGGGGATCGAACCCCGGACGATCCGCTCTCCGGGCGGACGCTCTACCACTAGACCACGGAGGCGGTCTACAAACAATATCATGAGAACTGAGCTTCCAAATGTGTACTGTCAAAACCTTTTCATTATTGTTTGTATAGTACTGATGTCAGCTTGGTGAGCCATTAAATTCACCCAACTGTGAGTTTTGGTTTCGTTTTCGCCAGACAAATGACATTGTATAGTTGGCCTGGTTTGTCACATGGCCTTTTTCTTCAGATCTCATTACCATTACTATACAGTTCCGGGTATGGCGAACACTCGCATATAACGAAGTTAGTTGTGATCGACGGGAGTAGCAATTTACGGATTTAACGAACTATATCGAGCTCCCCGGACTTTGTGAACTCCCGACACTTTCCCAGAGAATAGACGGGTGTCAAGTTTGCCTTTCAGAGAGTTGGTAACTGAAACATCCTACTAACCTAAACCAATAGAAATGCAGTGTTTTATCAGTGGCACTACATGTATTCCAGATGGGGGTGATACTTAGGATACAGCTGACAGAGTTTCTATAAACAATCTTTTTACCCACCGCGTCCACATAACTAGAAACAAATACCGGTTTTTACGGAAGCCGTTTAGGGTCATCTGCTTTTATATTTTCCTTCTTGCTGTTTCAAGACACTAAGTTGAAATTTCAAAATAATAAGATGATGTCGGAATGCATTTATACAGTGTACATGTCTTGTTAGTTCATTACATTATAGAAGTTATGAATAAGTAGCTTTGGTGACAGAAAGTCAACTTAATGTCTTGAAATTTCAATTTAGTATCTAATTTAAATTTCAAGTAAAAATATATAGGGCAAATGGCCTTGAAAGGCTTTCATAGTTTTTTATGCTGGATAGTTTCATCCTTCACCCATTGTTTTACAGAGAATTTTTTTCTCATTCGACCCCACCCTACCCACCCATGCTTCATAGTACTCCGGGTGCATCCCTTCAAACCACTGACCAGAAGAATCAGATGTCCAGAAACCTATCTGGTGTTGGCAGATGGCACTCTAACATAATAGTCAAAATATATCTAAATACACAATACATTTCTGTCCTTAAAATAAATAATTTCCTGACACTGCGGATAAGAGCTATCTAGACTGGGTGTGTTAGATTGGTTTTGGTTTAGGTTTCATAAAACACATACATTCCACAATCGTGGTTTAGGAGAGGGGATGAATAGAGGCTGATGGAGCTGAGACGGGGATAAGGGGTGCAATGGGGGTGCTTGTTTTATTGAACATAGTCTCTGGGTTATGTATCACTAATGTTGTTTTGAACACAGGAACTCCATGATAGCGTGTAAAGCAATGATATATTCATAAAGAAAAAAAACACACACCCCTCGACATATCGACTATATGTATAGAGGGGTGTGATTATTAATGTACGAATATATCATTGGTTTACATAATATCATCGAGTTCCTGTGGGTCTAAACTACATCGAGTATGTTTTTTAACGAACAGTGACCGCCTCAGTGGCCTCGTGGTAGAGCGTCCGCCCGGAAAGCGGAAGGTCCGGGGTTCGATCCCCGGCCGCGTCATACCAAAAGACGTTAAAATACATACTTGTGTTGTTACCCTGTCTGGCGCTCGGCATTAAGGTGCTAAAACAAGGACTGGTCGGCTCGGAGTCAGTATACTGTGTCTGAGTGGGGTATTCATGTTAAATTGCGGCATGGTATCTCAGTAAATCGGCATCAGTCCGGACTAGTACAAACAGCCACACACACACACGTGCATGCACGTCGCAAACCCCATTTCACCACACATCACCTTGGCCAATCGTGTAACCTCGGTGTTGTATGTTGTATCTAAAATGTATGCGCTTATTCTCTACCCGAACTGTACGCGTCTATCTGAGATTTATACAGGGCTTATGACTTACAGGTTCCACGTGCTCAGGGAGTCAGTGATGCAATAGAAGCTATGGAATGAAAATCACCAGATGTGGAAATGTCTTAGGCCTTCCATTACGCATATCGGCTAAATACCATGTGTCGTATTGTGGGATTACATCGTCAGGTGGAAGTAATGGGGCACAATGACCTACTTGAGAAGAAACAAATAAAGATTTGATTCACAAAGGAGCGACAGAACTCTGCTCACCTGGTTGATAAACCTGCCAAGATTCTTATCATTATTGTAATTATTGTCATTAACACCCACAACAATGCTACTTACCGTGACTGATTTGAATTCAAATATAAGATACTAATCTTTATGTTTGTGTTTCCAAGGTCGAGTTTCTAAGAATCGATATCAGTCGCCAGGTTACCGGCAGTAAATGTTTCTTTGCGAAGAACCCCAAGAAATGACTTCTTAATTATTCAGGTTCCAATGTCAATGTGACAGCGTGAGTGTGTTTGGAAACAATCATTATGTTGATGTTCGTGCATTTGTGGCATTAGACTACACAATGGGTCGTTTTGCTGACAAGTATTGCTTCAAGTCAATTCCATTGTTGTTTATGCGTAACGCATACCTCTATAAATTAAGACGTTGCATGAATATTATTTTACGCCACAGCCAGCCATGTTCGTGCTATATCAGAGGCGTGTCCAGGTTTTGAAAAACATAATGTTTATTTGTTTGTTATTTAATGCAATATTCTAGCTATATGACAGCGACCTGTCAATCATCGAGTCTGAACACTCTGTAGCATTGATAATTTAGGCAACCTCCCACACCACCAGGGTACAATGACATGTAATCGACTAAATCACCGATCTTGATGACACGATCCATTTAGTCGACTTTTAAGACACGCACAGATGCTGGTAACCAGTTCTAATTCTAAGACCAATTCCGAAATTTCCGCGGATTTTGAACAAACGTACGCACACACTTGGATCAGCAGTGTAGTAAATATTCAAGCTTATACCAGGAAAACCAGTGGTTGATAGCATGAGTAACAATCAACGTCGCGTTCAATAGTTATGCACTTATAAGGTGTGTGTGTGTGTGTGTGTGTGTGTGTGTGTGTGTGTGTCTGCTTGTACTAGTTCGGACTGATGCCGATTCTATAGTGCTGGCCCACTTGGGCACCATTCCGTATTCCATTAACATGAAGTCCCCACAGCATAGTGACTCCGAGCCGACCAGTCCTTGTCTTACCCCGCTTAATGCCGAGCGCCAGGCAGGGTAACAACAAGTACCATCTTTTTAACGGCTTATTGTATGACGCGGCCGGGATCGAACCCCCAGTCCTTCCGCTCTCCTGGCGGACGCTCTACCACTAGACCACGGAGGCGGTCTCAACGACGCCATGGTATTATTGCACAGTATCATCCAGGTCACACAATGTGACCGATCCTCACTGTAGCCGGTTTTTACAACAAGCTTTGGGTACTCAGCATTTAGCACCAGGCAGACAGTAGCCATTGTGTACAGGGAC